ATGTTTGTGTCAAAATCTCAAACAAAAAACGAGGGAGCGCAAACGAGAAAGCTGCAGCGAGAGCAAAAGTCTGATCATTGAGAAAGAAGAAACAAGAACTGCAAACAAAAACCTATGTTAAAACAAAGAAAAAATACTTATAGTTTACATGATTACACAAATGATTTGTTTGCAACTTATAGTATTATTCTTGAAATTTATTTTATTTTGCTTGACTTAGTTTTTTTTTCTTTTAAACTCATAGTTTTACTTTATTCTGAGAAAGTGTTGCTTTATCTTTATGATACAAAACTAATCCCATAGCTTCCGACCCTCGCCAAACCAGCTGTAAAGATGTACGAGCATCCAGACTTCCTAATTCACCTCAAAGGAAGTGCATACTGGGCCATGTTGCAAAGATGGACAGCTTCCATGTGGTTATTTAAGGACAGGAGGACAATATCAAGGGGGAGTTGGCTGAGGAGGGGAAGGAGAGAGACCAAATTGGTCCAAGTAATGAGATCACAGACACAAGTACAGCTCAAGCCTTCACCCAGCACGTTTCCATGGCTGCAACCAAAATATTACTTTTTTCCCCCTGATAAAGTCTGATCTCATTAGTAATTTATTTAGGTGGTCAGCCATTTTCTTGATTAAAGTTTAGCCATTAAATGGACATACAATGTATAAAACAACCAGCAATGCCTTTCACAGTTTTCCATAGCCCAAGTTGTTTTACTTTGACATTGTTCTACTGTCGATACCCAAAGAGATGTAATCTAACGTCGATATGGACAGAACAACACTGAAAATGTCGGATTTGAGAAGCTAAAATTGGTAGATTTATCTATACTTTTGGAGATTTATCTATACTTTTGGAGATACTGACAATAAAAGGGAAACAAGATAGATTTTTCCGCGGCATAGTAGCTTACGGTATATGGCGTACATTCAAGTGGATAGCTATAGAATAGTAAAAGTATTAAATTGTTAGGCTAAGTAAACCACAAGAAGCTTCACATGGTTTTGCAAATGTTCAGTTTTTATGTTTTATGTAATTTCCTTTTAACATCTCCTTTAATTAACTTTTTTACAGAGTCCTTGCTATTTTAGTTTTCAGTTTCTTTCTTCTTCTTTTTTTTTTACAGCTGTAGCCTACCATTATGTTAAAATAACTTTTACTTTTTTTTTTTACAGCTGTAGCCTACCATTATGTTAAAATAACTTTTACTTTAAAAGAAAAACCTGTGTAAATATTTTAAACACCGTGATGATAATGAACGTGCTTCCCTTCCCTTCTACTAATGACACAATGTAGCCTACCACAGGCAAAAAAACAGACATTAAGACAGTCATCAACGCAGCATTTAGGTTTAACCTTCACACAAGCTAATGCTGAGCCGACCCACTTTCAACAGTCAATGCTACACCGAGCGGGTTGGGAAAGGGAAAGAATAATCAAGAGAAGTAATCCATTAATTACGTCAGCGTTCACCTCGTAGACATTACTTTTTTGGTTTCTGATATTTTTGTTTTCAATTTCTACAAAAACTGCAGCACATTACATCGAGAGATGCAAGGGAAGTCAAAGTAATTAAAATATAATGTCATCTTAGTTTTCTTGGCCTATTTAGCATTTCTATTTGCAAAGTTGTTATTATATTCCCTTTAAATAAGTAGAAGTAAGCTAAAGCTAAAGCACTGTTTAGGCTTACATTGGTGACAGCTTAACTTTATTATCCTAAAGACAAATAGGTTGGCAGAACTTTTAAAACACATAATAAAGATAGCCTTTGTGATACATAGTATACATTTACCTCTGTGTAACAATTGGCCACCAAGTAGTGGCGCCATTTTCATATAGCCTACAATCACTGTTATGGTGATGACCATGTGTTTAATTTGGGAATTTGGCTACTCAGACTCCAGCCTGTACACTGAATATAAATATATTTAAGGCACATGG